GGAAAGCGCTGTGACAGAAAGAGCAACTAATGACTTATCTAAGGAACACAATATGTCGATCAGTCTGAATGGACAACCGCTAAAATTTGAATTCATATGGCGCATGCGTGGGAACGGCCAGAACTTTCCTTACAACCTAATAATTCAGATCCATCAGTTGACGAATTCGAACCGCTATGTCGATATATGGGTCTTCCTTCTCATCTTGTGGAACTTCTTGATGGATTGGCAATAGAACAGCTGTTTGACATGTGAGTAAAAAATTAAGACCAAATTGACTTTACATGTATTCAAACCTTCCAGGTGGTCGGCGGCTATGCCTGCCTTCCCACAATCAATTGTTCGTCAGCCCATTAAGGCAACTCAACTCGTGGACCTTCCTTATGACTTCAGTGAAGTCATTCACCTTGCGTCAGCTTTCAAGTAGTTTTATACCAGCTTTTTGCTAAAGTGCTCCGCTACCTTGGCTATTATACTCAGGTGTCCATCAATTCCATTGGATGAAAATGCAGCTAACGTACCAACCATGTGTCTTGTTTGTGGTCAGATACTTTGCTCTCAAAGCTACTGCTGTCAGAAACAGGTAAGACAGCTTCAAAAAATAGTTCTCATTCTTTTCTATTATAGGGTAAGACCAATGTTTCCGATGACTGATTTGTTCTTCAGGTTGGTAAGGAAAGTACAGGGGCGTGTAGATACCATATGTTGCACTGTTCTGGACCCATGGGTGTTTTTCTGAGGTGAGTTTGATGCTGTTAATAGCGCTGTTCGGCAATTTTTGCTTTTAGCAATGCTGGAAATCTTTTTGCGTTCAGGATTCGAGACTGTGCGATAGTACTGATGACAACACGAAATCGTGGCTGTTTCCGTCCAGCACCTTATGTCGATGAATTCGGAGAAGCTGATCAAGGATTCAGGTAAGTAACAACTCTTGTCTTGAATCTGCTCAAGCGGCCTATTTCTTTTTATAGACGAGGTAATCCGCTGCACCTCAATGAGGAACTCTACCACAAGTTGCGGCAACTTTGGCTTCAACAGGGTATTGCTGAAGAAGTTGTGAATCAGTATGAAATTGATCATCGCAACATGCAGTACGATTGGGGTCATTTCTGAACCTTTCTTAGAACCTCTTAACGAAACCAGCTTGTATTATCGACCATCAATACTTGTACTCTTTTTATATGTAAATACCAGTTTTCTTTCTAAACCTTAGCAGTTTCTCGAATGGAACTGCGGTGATTAGGGTACTGCAGGCGTTTCACATTTTGTTAGTTCTTTTCCGAGTTGCTATCCAATTTGTTCGTTTGATTTCGGTGCACTAATTTTAGTCTAGCAGCGCGTTATCTTCATGATTTTTTCTTCTGAGGTCACGTATAGATTATGGGTAACAATATTATATAGTGTGGAAGTATAAAACTCGTGTTCTCAAAGTTCCTTTAGTGTTTCGCGGTGGCGCTTTCTTTGAAGACGCTCTCACAAAGAGCACATAGTGCAGCTTGTGATTCGACTATTAAGTGCAGTTTCCCGTTTGCTAACATAGTTCCTAATCAGTTCGATCCACCTTAATTACTTATATTGTCTGAGATATAGGCCCTTTGGACATGTGTAAATAAAAATTATCAGTCAAAGCATTTCTCAGCTTATGAAAAAAACCTTAAATTTGATATCTTTGTAGTAATTCGAAGCAAAATAGACCTGAAATGCAGTAACTTACAATTATATGTGATATAGCGTGACTCAATCTATTTTTCTTGCTTTCAAGTAATGTAGAACAAATTCCCTCTAAAAGAGTAGTTGGGAGAGGATTTCAAAGTTTTATAGCGAGACGAAGCGCAGATACAAGATCGGCGAACGAGCTCAGCCTGCTGGAACCGTTTGTTCGAAATACAACCAGTGAAAATGACTCTCATTGGGTATTCATATCAGATGGTCCCAAGTATTAGGTTGGCAAAAGTCGCATCTGTTGATGATCTAATCTGTTAGAATGTACTAAAGCAGTCAGTATGTGCATCACAGAAAGACACGCGACAGCTTTCAGTACTTTATCAAAAATGATTTCATAGCACCATCCTCGCATCGTTATATTCTACAAATAGCGTCTAAGGAAAAGCTCACGTGAAACGGCTGATGCCATCCGCAACACGTTGAGTGAAGGCGCCTTACACCGTGCAACGGTGAACAGTTGGAACAATCTGTAGGAGATACCAATTTTGCAGTTACGCAGTGCACAAGCAATTGATGATGACAAATTACTACGCGCTTTCACATCAAACCCGGAAGCCCGCGTGAGTTGGCGGTGGCAGTGCTCTCACTCCTCTATCGAAAACCTCTATGTCCACGGTTATCGAAAAGTACTGTCAAGTTGAATAGCCCACCGAAGGACGGACACTCAGAGGCAGGTTCCTGCGAATCCTTGCTTTTTCAGCCGAATCGTAAGGACATTCCTGTTATCTCGTAACCGATGAGATCTGGGTATGGACGGTAACTGTAAACACACTGCCGTTAGGCTTCCTCAGCAGCATTGAGTTATAACTAACTCAGCCAAAACTAAACCCTCACCAGCGCAAACATCTACTGCGTCGTCGGTTGACTAGCACTCGATCGTGACATGAAGTCTGCCTCACGGTGTTGATAACGAGCCAGCCCAAATCTCTTCGGAGAAACTAAGCATATGCTTTGTTTTTAAGTTGTTTTGTGCTGTAGATTATGTTTTTCCTGCTTGTACAGTTTTGTGAGTTTTCCCACGGATTCTTGATTGCAGATTGAAAGCTACTTTTAGCTACTAAAAGTAGCTTTCAATCTGCAATCAAGAATCCGTGGGAAAACTGCTTCCAGACCAGCGAAAGTGCCTTTATTATTGCATGAGGACGTCAACTCATCATCCATCCGCTACAGAACACCAGCGATTTTCTGCAAGGTGATAGACCTTAGAAGGGATAATACACAAATATTTAGTGAATTTCCGTGCTCTCCTGTGCCAGAAGTAAGGGGCATTTGGAGTACCGTGCATTCTCCGGCCCTCAAGCTGATTTTTGCCATCACAGACACCGAAGTGTCGAATCTCTAACCAAAATAAATTTTCTGCCAGTTTATTTTGTAGAAAATCATAAAAATACAACAGCTACAAGAGCACAGTACAGAAAAGTTTATTCATTATTATTCATAAATATGATAATTTTTCGGTAATTGTGATTAGGGCGAAAGCACGTGAATGGCTCAGTAGTGGAGCTCCCTAGTTCGGAAGTCTATTGTCCTGTTGTGGCAGTGCTGAGGTGACAGGAGTGAGCCGATCAACGCACTGGTTCTCCTTGCAGTCGAAGGCCTCACCGCAGTCACGGGGTGCCCATGTGCAGAAACGGCCAGCCACTCGGTTGCACTGTCCTCCCTCGCAAGCCTCTCCAAGCTGACAGACACGTTTCGCACAGTCTGAAAGCACAATGCTCTACCTGGTCTACTACCTGATCTGTTGCCCAAGAACTGAAACCTTCCAGAATCAATTCCAAAATTTGAAGGTGCCAACAAAGTCGTTACGTGTGGTTGTGGATGACTTGCGATAACTCACCGTTTCTTCTGCATCGCCCATCGATACACGTGAACGGACCGGCACATTCTGTCACACAGGGTGTTCCCTCCATGATGCGGCACTCACCAAGGCGGCACGATTGATCCGGTGGACATCTGGAATAAATGATTTTTCAACGGTATCGAAAAGGGCCTCGAGACACTATTCTTGCTATAGAGCTAGTTGAGATAGTCTCACAGTTCTCTCTTACTTCAACCTCAGCATACTGTTGTTTGCGATAGTTGCGTTCTTGTGCCTGTGCTGTACGAGGTTTTTAGGTGGAACAGTTTATCAAATCAAACTGCCTGACGTTTCGACGGAATTGTCGTCTTCAGAGGCCTATACGCATTTCGAAGTGATTTACACGCCAACCAAGAAGCGTCTTTACCCCTACAGGAAAACGTTACGATTCATTTGAAACCCTTATTTTGCAAGTGACTCACAAGGTTCAACCGCTCAAACGGAGAACATCCGCTGCCGCCACAGGCAACTGTGTGTAGCGAATGAGACTTATTGCTGTTCCCTTATACTTGTGATAAGGAAAATCACGTTATAGTGCTACTGAGTCACAACTCACAGTTAAGCGCGTCGAAACGTTAGGCTGTTTAAGCTAACAAACTGTTCCACCTAAAGTCTTTATGCGGTACAAGAGCTAGTTGAGATGATTCTTCAGGCAGGGGCATTGTTGATATAAGATTTCATGGCTAACCGTGGTCGCATTCCTTCCGCTTCAAACAATACTGTCTTTCTTATCGCACGGTCCAATTGCCTATGCAGCACGTGCTCATATCATCGCAGACACTGCTCTCTCATCTTCACGAAACATGCGATTGCGAAGTAATGGGGCCAAATTTTTAGTGTTGATCTAGTTAAATATGCAATAGCAAATCGAAGCCATTTTGAACAGCTTGCATACGAACTGAGGAATCTGAAGAATCGAAAGCGAAATATGAACTAAAGTCACAGAAACCCCTTACTTTATGTCCAGAACGTGGCGTCGTTACCTGCTCACGACAAAAAGTGTAATTAGAAATAGGTCAATACTAGCTAAAAACAAGAAATGAAAAGAACTCTCTTAGTGATCTGTTTCGCCTCTACCTTTCATTGGAGCCTCTTCTTTTTTGCCAACCCGAGGCCCATCGGTAACTGAGGGTTAGCAAAAATCAATATATCTAAGCGTAAAAAATTTTCAGTCGCAGTGGGCGACCCCATTATCTTGGCGACAGAAGCGCAACACATTTATCACCTTCAGCTGGACACAAGAAATTTGTATGCTGCCCAAGTATCCTCGTTCCCGAGCCGGTCCTGTCGAGTCCAATCGCATGCCCATCTGATGGTGAGCATCCTCATTTCAATGTAGCGAAGTTATCTTCCGTGATTTTTGCCAACCCTCGTTGCGTAGAGCATCGTTAGCCTCATCTCTGTCAGGTGCCTTTGCTTTGAACGTTCTGGAGCATCGTAGATCGCAGAGGATTCCCTTCACTTCATACAAGCCGCGTTTATTTAAGCCTTTACAGCTGGACCTACGCTACCATCAGCGGCTAGGTCACTCCCCAGGCATCGGGAGTTCTTGAACCCTCCAACGACTTGTTCCTAATTAACAAAAATAATCTTATGCTACAGTTTCGACCTCGTCGGATAGATGATGCCTCTTTCGGACCGTAAGATTTGTAGATTGCAAAAGAAACAGAGGTGGTCCGAGGAATTCTTCAAGGATGCGGTTCAAACTTTCTNNATTGACTGGTCTACGTCCCCTTCGACTGCTACCCAATGGACTAGTGCATATGGTCTGCACTGGAACGGAAAACGGAAAGCCTGCAGTTGAGAAATGGTTGAAGACAAAGTGGGCGTGTGCTGCTCTCGATACGTACCTACAGCATGTACGAATTACAACTCGTACAGGAGGCGGTTGTATCAAATGACCATACGTTCGTTCTATTGGTGCGACGCACAGTAAACAGCTTCATGAATTGAACATGGAACGATTTTTCTGCGGTTTCTGTACCACATTTTCCACTTACCATACTTCCCTTGTATAGAAGGATAGCACCGAATCGGATGGCTCTGAACCTTATTTCTTATGATATTTCGTCGACTACTCGCTCTCAAGTACCACGAGGCCTAGGGTGTGTTGTTGAATCAAAACCAAAGCATGAGCTAAGCCTCCGCGTTCATGCCATGGGATGGCAGCACACAAACTGTAACCACCACTAAGCCTTCTTCCTACTTTATCGGATTGCCCAGGTGATAGAGTTATTTATCCAGGTTATTCGATCTCTGTGCTGTACGAAATAGCCCAGAGGGAACACCATTAAATGTCAATGAAGTTACGGTGACAAAGACTGCCTGATGCATTCCACTGGTACCAACAAAACATCTTACAATCAGACACGCAAGTGCATAGTGCTTTCCCTGCTCCTTTTACCTACCTCGCTTTCCTACGCTCAGAGTATGGGATATGGATCGACTGGCAGAGCTAAATGATGGGTGGAATCTTTTCTAGGCATGCAGCTCGTTTGGGCTCTGCAACGGTTCTATTCCGAGGCAGAGGGCGACTCACCGCAATAACTAAGTCACTGGCGGGGTGGGTGCGATGAATGCGGTTCTGGAGTAAGACTGATGCAATTTGAAGCAACCCCGTTAACATTAAGAATTGCTTTGTCCTTCAAAACTCTTCCTTCAGGATCACTTCATGTTTGTTGCCTGGTGCTTGATATGAACTATACCAGACCTGCACAATAGAAGAATGACTATTCAAAAATTGACAAAGGCAGGCACCCATTCGAGACTGTCCACGATCCCGAGTGGAAGAGAACATGGCGCATCTCGAATGTTGACTGATTAAATCAGCTTTCAGGGTACTGCCAGGATCATTGCATAGACTTGACAGTCTGGTGAAGAGGCAACTTTTATAAAGCAAAATCCGGAACTGCTGTTACAATATTAGAATTTCTTTTTTTAGCTTGATTTTATATGGGCTCCCTGGTGAACGAACTTTCGAGTAGCCCACAAGCTATTCAGAACATACTGAGCTGCCCAAATGCACACACATACTGGCCCAGAGAAAATCCAGGTACTGTTTAAAGGATAAAGATAAAGTTATTGGCGTTAATCAATCCCGTCTGAGGGATGCGCCCCCGCACTCGACTT